TGTATTTGATCGCAATCTGTGTTGGATTGTACCAATAAAAGATCTACTTACAGTTATACGATTAGGAGCGCATTCAGTAGTTTATAAAATAAGTCAAAACTCATGTTTGAGAAATAGCGATATTCTTAAGAGTGTAACATTTTTATATACAAGTAGAATTACATCTGCTGTGAATTGCCCTCACATTGATGATTGTGTTCACACTCACAAATCAAGAATTTTCTCAACCTTGACAGATTCTTTCGTAGTAATGGATATTCGATCTATTACATTTTTATTCACTTTCAAACTTTATCATTAAAAGATAAAATTCACGATCGAAATGTTCTAGCTCATTTCATTAATTGACGATCTTTGATCCAATTGAAAGTCGATTTCTACCATATTATGAAGAAAAATTTTCGAAGGAAGACAATTTTCGCTTGGTAGATATCATTGCCTAAAATTTATTTTGATTATTTTACCTTAGTGAATCAAGAATTAAACTTATAGGCATCAAATGAAAATATTTAATTCAGTTTTTCATTTTTTCCTCTATTATCATTTCATCTTACCCTTCGTTTTTGCATCACATGTTCATCATTTTATGCCTTTTAGTGATACGAAAATGTGTGAATCTAATAAAAGTGCCCTCGCTCCCGAAGAATTCCGTGATCATATTGTTCTATGGTTTATGTACGATAATCAACATGCCATCCGAATTCAATGTGAGTATAACTCCAAGATACTAGTTTCAATCGCAGGCGGACACATCAAAATTACTCAACCACTACGAAAATTTGTAGAAGTGTAGTTAATGTCACACTCAATGGATGAAGATTTGTACATAGTCTGACTGTTCAAAAGCAAATCCAAAAGTATCAGACATGGCGATCTAAAACCAAAATCTAATTTTGATCGGTAGAAATCAAGTAGATTATCAAGAGACCATTGCATTCATGACAATTATTTATGGAATTCCTCATGTGAGAAAAAGACTGCTGAACTTATTGATAAAATTGTGGTCTGTAATGGAAGGAGCGATGATCATCAAACTTGGTCATAGTATTTGATAGTATTAAAAATGTTTTTTCAAGATCGAAAATTTTCGCGAAAGTAAGCCACAGAAAGAATACGTTTGCAACATTCAATGCTGGCATCGTTAATAGACAACCAATGAATCAAATTCATGCAGATATGTCAATGAACTTTATTTATGTAATTGATTTTTAGTACAACAAATACACTGACACTATGAATTTCGTTCAAAAACATTTCTACATAATGTTTCGAGTTGACGAAGAGTTGAAATCTTGAGTCTTCCGAAGTCTATGTGCACGTCAGTCTGATTTGGTGACACCAATTCTGGTTCTTCACGCAGGATGATCTATAAATAGGATAAATGAAAGAAAGAAACGAACAATGTTTTAAATTAACATCCTACCTGTACTAAAGTTTGTAAAGGTGCGTGTGGCAGATCTTGTACCCACTGAGTCAATCGAAGTAATTCATCGTTTGTCATGGATTGATGGCCATTCAAACTCTTCAATAAAAAGAATTGAACTAGGTTAAATAGAAGTCACACATTAAAATGCGAAGTGAAACGAATTAAACAAGGTCTTTTAACTAAGAAACTAGCTAACTCTTTGAAATCAATTCAGAAGTGCGGAAGAATTGATCACAATGAATTTATCATATTAAGTCACTAGTTTCACTACAACTTCTGTATCATAATAGTTTCACTTTATACGATATGCACGTGAAGGTTTTTCGTTTAAAGACAGACTTTCATCGCATCTCTATTCAGTATGATCCGTCATAAATTCAGTATTGAACCTTCGGATGAGAATATCTAAGACTTTATCGTGTCTGCAAGGAGTACTATTTGCAAAGCTAAAATTTTGATCCTTCGATCTAAATTCTTTCATCTGTTAAACACCAACAGACTGAATTTTCATTCAAAAAATAGTCAAGAGTAAACGACGTGAAAAATTGATTTCAAGGAAAACTCTTCGCAACCTGTTATCTACTTCGCAAATCAATTTTACTATTACTCCCTAGATTGGATCATTCTGACATCTCTATTTCGATCGACACAGTCTGAATTATTACCTGATCAAGATCTGGAACCAATTGATCCAACTCTATATTATTCGCATTGTTGACAGTCAACATCTTTTTTGAGAATCAAAAATAAAAATCTAGAAAAAAAAAGTGCTAAATGCAAAGAATAAATTCACATATGTGAACGATGAGAACATTCGACGGGCGAAACCATCCTGCAAACATGTCATATCAACCCGATGTATGCAGTTCATTTGGAAATATTCTTTTCCTCACAATATAGACATATATATATATATATACGCATCATGCACAAAAGATCGTCCGCCTCTCGAGTTAGATTGGTCACCGACTAGACAATTCGGATGATTTCAAAGAGACGCTTCATTGAAAAAGGTCAAAAATACGACACTTCTTGAGAGCACCTTTCGTCGATGACGCCTATGTATATCTATACAATAAAACAGATATCGTTCGTCGTAAAAAACAAGCTAAATTCCATTGTTGTTGACAAGGTAATTGACAGTATTTAAGTCTATTTTCAACTGAAGATACTTTAAATTATTGGAGATATTCAAAATATTCTTATTTATAATCCGTCTCTGAAAAGAAAATGACTATAACAGTAACAATGTACCAAGGTATTGTATCATGACATAGAATTCTATTCTAGTGAAGAATTCAAAACATTTTGTTTTTATTGTGACTTCTTACATTTCCGTCATCTTAATAAATCAAAAATACAGATGATGACTTTCTTTTTCACCTGTACATTTCAAATTGTTTTCAAATCGAAGGACTGTCTCAATGAATGACGATTGATACGGTGTTGAAGTTCTTTATCTTTATCAAGATAAGGAAATGTTTTCTCTGATTTAACACTATCCCTTAGATTTTATTGATCTCTCATTTCTTCGTTCTATCATTCACCCATCAAATGCTTCTACTGATGATTTGTTATTTCAAACAGTAGACTTTTCATGTTTATTTTATTTTCGTAGACTTGGACATCCTTTAATTACAAGCGTCAACATCAACTTGTGCCCGAGTTAATTTATCATCATTGATATTTATCCAACTATCCTTTTCCATTGAACCGAATATTCCGCACCAATAATACCTGAAATATGTGTCTCGAAAGAGATTAACTTAGTAACTCTTTTGTCATATTATAATTAACTCAACCATAGAGAACTGCAAGAAATCAAGAATTAGACGTATCGAGAGTCGACAAGACATTAGCAAGAAAATGAAACAGGAAGATAGCGTAGCGTCTCTCTGTATCTATTGACATGTTGTTACTCAACAAGTAATGACAGATGGATGGAAAACATGCAGTTACAATGACATAAATAGCTGGCGTTACCGATTTATTTTCTCATAAGTACGACAACAACCGAAAAGGAAGATAATCGACTTATTAACAATGAAAAATATTTGTTTTTGCAACATTTGTTGTACTTCGCATAATCGTTGTGCAGTGTTTAGAGCAGACTGAAACGAATATTAAACGCCCAGCAGTACCGAAAGGTAAAGCATATGATCGATGCCAAAAACTGAAAAATGGAAAATATTCATGTCGTTGTGGCAAGAAGAAAGTGATCTATGATCGCCTCAAACAAAAATGTATCAATGGACAAGTCGTTCCAAAGTAAGTGTTCTCGATTGAATACATGTCTCTATTGCATTTCAACCATGACACATTATTGACGGTATAATACGCATATATTTCGAAACCAGAATCAAAGTGGAGCTTTTCATTTTCATTTTTTTTATTCGTATATACTTGTCTCATTTCAACTGCGTGCATAGGATTTGAGTGAATTAGTTTACTTAACTAATAGTCATGATGACTTGAATATTATTGAAGGACCTATATCTCGGCTCAAGAGAAAATATTTTTCATGAAAATTTCACTATTAGGAAGGCACAATAGGACATTCATTTTCTGCAAGTTTAGTGTTGAATCAGTAGCTCCTTGCGAAGATTCGACAAACACGAAAAACTAGTGTTTATGTTAACTAGGGGTGGCCTATTTACATTTACGCCAATTTATTAAATCCGAAAATAAATTTTTCAAAATTTAAATTTAAAAAAAATATAAATTTTTTCAATAACAAAATTTATACTTAAAATAAGCTTAAATTTTCCGAATTAAGAGTAAAAGGAAATGTTAATTTTTATTACACCAAAAATTTATAATTAAAATAAATTAAAATTTTCGAAATTTACACTTAAAATAAATATAAATTAAATTGAAAAATTTTATTTATTATGTTGTTTCTCGTTACGGTCCAACAGGCATGCTTTCAGCAGTTTATATTTCAAAAATAATTTTGTTCAGTAATTCTTTATTCCAGTGTTTGAAAATTATAACCTGGCCTTTAGGCATACTCGACATAAATGTTTTGATCTTTTCACACTTCAGATACAATCGAAAATGCTAGCTGGATGTTCTATTTATCCGTGTGAAGATAGATGCACCAGGTGAGCGATAGAAAGAGCGATACTACCATTACCCATTATTTTACTCTGGTAATAATTATATATATTGTCAAAACGGAAACTACTTGGTCAAAAACAATTGTTCGATCAAAATTCTTTAGATTATTCATGTAAGACAGGACGAGTTGTTCACTTTTAGTGGCACTAGTTTTTAGAAAACATCATTGTTCTCGTAAGATCTAATAACCATATGCTGAAAGACTCGATTGTTTCGCAGCTTTCTATAAGTTTATCAAATGCAAAAATGAGATCTAAAACTAGGTTGTGATTGTTTTTATGATTCGAAAAGTCCAGTTGAATGGGTGGTTTTCTCAAATACGAATCAGATTTTTAAATGTAATCGATTTCAATCTACTGGAGTGGCTATCATTTGGTTTTGATACACTATAGCATACATTTAATATGAAATGTTGCTTTTATTCTGAGAGACAAGACAGAAAACTCCAATTTAGTTAAAATTTATTTAAATGTAAATTTCGAAAATTCTAATTTATTTTAATTATAAATTTTTGGTGTAACGAAAATGTACATTTCTTTTTCATCTTAATTCAGAAAATTTAAGCTTATTTTAAGTATAAATTTTGTTATTGAAAAAATTTACATTTTTTTTTAAATTTAAATTTTTCACAATTTAAATTTAAAATAAATTAACAGGAAAATGCCACCCCTAATTTATATTGATGCATTTTGATTTGGTCAAGCAATTTCCTTGACCTCTTATCCACGACGGATTCGATAGAGTGGACGACTGAAGCAGGGTAACCAGAACATGAATTTCAGAAAGATAGTTACAAGTGGAAGATATATGGACAGTAAACCAAAACTGTAGAGTGATTTGACTAGTCCTACTCGTATCCAGTATGGCATAACCATTGCAACGACATGTCCAATAGCAAGTAATAACGTCATGGTACCAAGTTTTGATTGTACAAAGCGCCATTCTCGCCAATTCAATAGATTACCAATCGCAGGAATACTCGTTATAGCCAAAATAGACATGCAAAGTTGAGTTAAAATACCTAATAGAGATGCCAATTCGCCTTTTGCAGTCATGAGACTAGCCACTACGACGATTCGTGTCTGATTGTGAACAGTCGAAACCATGACTTCAACAGGATGAAACCATGAAGAGTAATACGCAGGTGTTATAAGAATAAGTGTCATAATAGAGTGAGAAAGAGCTAGAGCAAATGTCAATATACCGAGTTGTTTTCTGCTTAATAGCCATCGATCCAACCACATTGGAAATCGTCGTTCTCGAGTTCCATTGACCAATTGAAATATACACGCAAGATTCGAGGACATGTAGACAATAGCTAGCATTGTGATGGCACTTGAACATAATGTTTCATTAGCCACGTGTAAAAAGAGTTGATTCCATGAAGTTGTACGTGTACTAATAAAACTCATGCAGAGCGTGTAAGTAAGCCAGATTGATATAATGACAAGTGTGATAACGATAGGAATTTGCCATTGAGGGAACAGAGATTTAGTATTACGTTCTAGATGACGTGCTACTCGAATCGAACCCGCATTGAATGAATCAAAATTCATTTCACGTGCGAGTGTTATTACTTTATTTTTCATTATTGAATGATCACTAGCAACAAAGACTTTGCATGATTCACCTGTTGTTGTACTTTGCATGGCAAATGATGAGATAGTATTGAATGCTTTGACAACAAAGGCATTGGATATTGCTGTTTGAAGTCGTTCCGCATTGGAAGAATCGTTCAGATGTGATTCTTCACAAGTTTGATTTGATATATCAATAAGAATTTTCCCGTCAAATAATGATGGCTCATGATCGAAATGCGATACAAGAGAATCGATATAGTGTTCTGGATGAATGGCAACGAAGATAATAGGCGAACGACGAATACATTCGACAATAGAGACTATTTCTAATTGTGTATCGTTTCGCTTGTCTGGACAACGACTACCCATTACTACAGTAAAGCCGCATAAGAATAAACGGTGAGCAAGTGCAAAACCCATGTTGTCACAACCAACGATACTGATACATCGATTATCATTCATATTGCTAGTCAAACGAGATTTATTCTGTTTTCTTTTCTATGAGCAGCTCTATTTTGTAATCGAATACATATATTTATTGCTTTCAAACTAGAAAGGAGTAAAAGAAAAATATCAAAATGTCGAAAAAGATACTGTCGAAATGTTAAAAGAGAAAAATGCCGAAAGAGAGAGACAAAGTGCATGATGTGATTGGTATGTATATAATGTATCTTGATTTCATCCGTTATAGTTGTAAAAATGGATGGATTATTGCATTCATTGAATGTGCAATAATAGGAAGCGGTATGAATCAATTGACGTTGGTCTCTATTAGAATGCATGTTATTATCCTCCTTGTCATAAAGTCTTCTTCATTACAATTGTTTCAATGACCACGATGACAATTTTCGCAAGCCGTAATCCAATTGATTCGAATTGTGCTATTGACTTTATTTAGTTTGTTATTTCATCGTTCTTATATTCACTGTGACATATGTGACTTGAACAATTCATCACTTTGGCTGTATTATAGCACATACTTGATTTATAGTCACTATTGTTGTTGTTGCTTCATAATATCTTCTTAAGTGTGTTTTGTGATTCAGTGAAATTAGTGTTGAATAATCTTTCTGATTAATTTTCAATATATTTTCGATCGCAATAATCATTTGATAAATACATGTAGTTGAATGTATTGCAAGTAGCGATGGAGTCCATTGAGTACTGAATTTCGTTCAGAAGATTGATAATTGTCAGATACGTACGCAAGATCTTTATTTTTTTCTATAGAGTTTTCCTATCTAGAGACGTTTGTTGCAAAAACTCTTTTTGACTTTAAGAAGCCATTGATTTCAAATAACTAGCAGAATGTATGCTAAGCAGAGAGACATATTTCTCTATTTGTAGGCTTTTTTCCCTACATTTCTCATACCGATCCGATTTAGAATGATTATTTTCTATTCGAGGTATCTCCCTCAATTCATTTCAATTACGGAGCAATCGTATCATTAGTTAAAATCGCAACATAATAATGTTAACATTATTTACATAACATCTCTTGTATATATTTTTTTTTCAAACAAAAATATTGTTTGCTAAGTGTTACTTGTGTGAGTGTTTAAATTCAGTGAGAGAAACAAGACTTTTATTTTTTACATCAGTATCATAAATAGACCTTGTTGCTTATCGTCGATATTTTTTATTTTATCTATTAAACTGATTATTCATGTTTTGTTTCTCGAGTATTGTGTACTATATCATTATCAACATCAATTGAATCGAAAAACTTATCTAAACAGACATTTCATTCTTACAGAAAGGCATCTTAGTGAACTTAGAGATTTCACATATTGGTGACTGAGATACGTATGTCATATAAGAAAAGTAAAATTTGACCTGTATCTAGATTTTTTTGGATCAATCTATGGATGCTCTCTTGACTACGATTGATTGTATACGTTAGATACAGTATGTTAACAAGACATAGATTGAAAATTGGATAAATACCGATCGTTGAGTGATGACATGGTCGACTAAACACAGATCAAAAACGTCTGTCACGATCTGTATGGGAGGAGGAGGACCCAATTCTACTCCTATACACTTCAACACTCCTTTTAGATCGTGTTTCACAAAAATATCAATGTTATGCAGTATCGTTTGATCTGTTGTTTGTATCTTTTGTACATTTGTGATGGTAACTAAAAGAAGAGGAAAGTTCATATGGATGAGACAAATGAAACGAAACGATTCATTAAGTATATCCATTTATTGATCCATCATATACATTGACTATATTTTACCTTTTATTTGAAATCGAAATGCTCCTCCTATTGACCATAGCAGTCATTTGACAGAGTCCTCTTTGACATTTCAGCATAAATGTAGATGATGATTACCCTCCTTAAATGTTGACACCCGAATTTGACCTAATCGGCACACAAGTTCATCAATGACAAGAAGTTGATATGGATTTCCCTGTAAATATTTGTCATAAATGAAGTCCTTCAAGGTCCACACTGAATACCATTTTTCTAAGGGTTTAAAAAATGACAAATTAATCTCGTTCGTTGCGATGAATAGATTTGTTAAATTTTTATCACAGCTTTGTAAAATACGTCGAATATGTTTTACTGTTGTACAATTACCAGTTTTATGAAGTTTGTCACCTCGTCTTACATGGACGCTGATAAATGGCTTTTTTATCTTAGTTGCAATGGTTTGTGCTATTTCCAAGAGTTGAGCCGAGTACTGGTGTTGCTGGAACGTATTTGCCATCCATTGTGTTGATTCCAAAAATGAACTTTTCGTGATAGTGGATGGAATTTTGCAGAACTCGTACCAATAGTTGATATTTCTACTACTTGCCCATCGAAGTAACGGATGATCAAAACCAGTCAAGTGAAGTACAGATGATTGATTGAGTAAATCTTTTTTTGATACAGAGATATTCAGATGATTATAGAGTTCTTGTGTATTCAATATGCTCTCAGTAGGTACATATATTGAACGACGTCTTACTTTTTGATCAAAGTAAGTGACCGCATGCTGTGATGGAATACAAATTTTTTCTGGAAGTAAGAGACTTCGATTGAAAAAGTATCGAGCAAGACGTGCTTGACATAAAATGTCGACACGAGTATGGCGCCAACCCGCACACACGTATTTCTTATAACTGAATGCTACGTATAAATGCTGATAATTGATTTCTGTTGAGAGAAGAACAGATGACTGAAATACATTTTTAAAAATTTGTCCATACATCTTCTGGTAGAACATCGCATAAATTAGCCCTGATAACATTTCTATTCCAATTAGAAACAAAATACAAGATACACTCATTAAACACCGATTCATTGGAATCTAGACAAAACGAATACAAAATATCATGATAAGAAAAGTGAACGACTCATTCATTTACATTACGCTCTGATATCCTTCAATTGATTAATATTAGGGAATCGTTTAGAATTGAGATCGGACTAGAACACTCGCACATATATCCAATTCTAAAACTAATCTTAAAATGCAGCGAAAGGTAAAGGTTAATTGTCGATGACAAAATCTTTTTGAACTTTGTAGAGATTTTAAACTTGAGCATGTATTTTACTAGAGCACATCCTCATCAATATCATGAATTCGAACGGAAACATTCTGAAAGCAAGATTTTTGTCTACTGTACTACGATAGTTCTATATAATTAAAACGTCGTAATGCATTCATCTAATAAATAAAAAAATCAAGAAATGCTCTTTCCTGTATTGGTTTACGCATATCATAAGAACGTATGCTCAAAAGAAACAATTTAAAGATTCGGATATAGCTTATACCTACTTTTTCCTGTTCTTGAATTTATTAGTTTCAGAAATAGTCTTGTTGATTTTTTTTTCTTTTGTACTACAATCGCTTTCATGCTATGTTCACAAGTTTGAGAGATGGGTTTCAATTAAATCGCAAAGTTGCAGTAACTCCATCTTCTCTTAGTCATAACATCATTCAACGTGGTCAATTGTCTACTTCTATACCTTTAACATCAGCTAAATCTACATCAACAGTGGTAAATTCATCAAGCTCACAAAATAAATCATCAAAGAATACTAAGTAGAATGTCAAACCTCAATATCCACGCTAAAGTCTTTTCTTCCTTCCTTTTCTGAGAATTATTTGTTAAATCCTAGAAATCAGGTTATGCATCGACTGAGAACTTCGAATTTTTCAACAAAAGATCAAAAATGAATATTATCTCTGTTAGATGAGAATGGTACATAGGTAGAACTTGGAATTTAGTCTTACAACAGTGGAAAAATGTTGAAAAAAATCCTTCCCAAAACCAAAAAGTATATGTAAAGATTCTGTGCTATAATGACGAAGGTCGGAGTACATATTCACTTGAAGCTATTAATTTAGTGTATAAAATTCAAGTTTCTAATTATATATTTACAGAAGTAGAGGGAGTTATGGAACACATGTCGATTACCACATTTTAACACGTTCTATCAAAAGGTTAACAAGAAAAATGAAAAAGTGTGCGTAGCAGTACGAAAGCATTTGAAAGCGATGCACATAGTTCGATAACAGACAGGAGAGGTGCGCGTGAGAAAGAAAGAATAGAACAGAACAACCTCACTTACATACCAACAACGTCCCACATATCAAAGAGCTCCCTACATAATATAGATTTGTCGTTCTCAAATATGAGTACTATTTCAAGTGAAACATTATGTTTTAGCACCAGTGATCATTGGCCGACTATACTGTCGTGTAAGAATTTTTTTTTTGAAACAAACAGTGTTTTTTTCTTCATACAAATTGAAAAGCATTTGAAACAGTACTAGCGCTACTTCAAATATTCTGGATAGAAGAACAAAATAAAAATAGTACAGATGAATGGTACAGACAAAATATTCGTTTCGTCGCAACTGTCAAAAACAGAGTGATTCATGAGAAAAAGAGATACATATAAATCATTACTACCGACCTATGTCATCGAAAAATGAACAGAACTACGAAAAGTGAGAAATAGATATTATCATTTAAGAAACAAGAAAATTTTTAGTGAGGAAACTATGTTTGTATTGCGCACGCTGACAAGAGAATCAAAAGTTGATATTGCTAAATACAAAAGTGCTTAATAGTGCAATTTTTTATCTAACATTCAAATGTTACACGATAAATCAGATAAAGCGCTTTGGACACATTTATCTCACATTTACAAATCGCGTACGCTACCTTTTTTTTTATTATAAACTATCAGACGACATTAAAATACTCTCAATACATCAAGAACTTATAAACGAATTATACCAGTACTACAGTGAGCAGTTCAAAGTACCTGCATTGGGATGCTCTAACGAGTATGATATTCAGATAGATAGGGAATATAAAGAGCTGTTAAATAAATTAATGATGTCAAAAGATAATGTGGAAAAAATCAGTGCTGCAGAAATTACAACTTTAAAGCTTAAGAAATCAGTAGGATT